CCCCAAAACCCCAAAACCCCAAAACCCCAAGCAGAACTATAATTTAGAATTGTAAAATATCTAGCTTTATGAATTATCAAATTACCAATAATTCATTTCAGAGGAACACAATCGACTTTATGCATAGGATAATGTGATTTTTGGCAATCTCTATTGCAATAATAAACTTTTAAACATCTAGAGCAAGCTTTGAGCTGTCTGGAGGACTTTTTGCAACCTCCACAAACCTTAAGAGGCTAATCTTTATAATAATTCTTCATATTGCATCCCAAGTTTGAATGACTAAACCATAAATAATCACCATTCAGTGCATTGATTAGTTTAGCATTCTAAGGGAACCCTTTCTCAAATTATTCATACTTTCTCAAAATCTGTCTAATAGAGGGCTCTTCAATATTTTATATTAACGATTAATCTATTGAATTGCAAACAATCAAAAGCCTGAACATATGAATAGTAAATAGGCAAAATTGAGGTACTGTTACGTCTTATTAATTTTATAATATATCAGCATCAACCTTATCCATTGTAATCAGCAATCTATATTAAAGTTCAAGTTGATTTAAAATATTACCTCTTTATGATATCAAGTTGTTTAATTTACTCAAGTAGAGTAGCTTATTCAGGATTCAAAATAAGAATATTAGTTATTGCTCTTACAAGTAGCTAGAGAGTCTAAAAATTTAGATTTTTATATTCTCTTGCCTAGCTTTGATCAAGTTCAATTTTCATTTCATCAATGATGGCATTTGTAATTCTAGGCTCTACTTTAAAGTCAGCTTTTTCTTCTTCAAGACCACCTACATTAATTAAATCTTCCTTTTGGTTTAGCATTAATGCTTGCTGCTGGAAAGTTAGAGATCTATTAACTATTATGAGAGCATGTTGAGCGAGTGTAATTTATGGGTTATTATTCTCATCAATTTGAATGCAGCAGCATTCCTTGCATATGAACTCTGAATTTTCTCCTAGTAAAATACTCAAATCTCTCTAATATAGATCAAAATTATAATTGAGATTTACCTTCAAATATAGAGCTATAATTTCAGAGAACTATCCTTAGAGAAGAGTTAATGAGGTGACTTTGAAAGTACTTAAAACATCTAGAGATCTAGTTACTTTTTGCAAAGCCTACTTCTTTGAATCCATATTCTTAGGGCCAGCTAAGCCAGGCATCATCTCTTTTAAATCATCAATATCACTTTATGTCAGTTGAGAATAATGAGAGCATGTCGAAGTATAATCAAATATTAGTTAGCATAATTAGCATTAAACAATAGATAGCTTTTCTGGCTTCATCCTATAGACTTCCTTCTTTTTATTGAATACTTAATCTGCATTTAATGATCTGAAATCAAGCTATTAGTGCACTCTGGGGGTCTCTAGATGCTAGGCATTACCTGGCTGCTCGTTCTTAAAAGAAGTACTACTGATCTATGTAGATATATCATTATCATTATCATCACTCATTTCATCAGATAAAATCAAAGGCTCATCATCTAGATATCCTTTCTAGAATTAATTGAAGGTCTGACTTTTATGAAATAAACTATCTGGGGAACTTTCAACAAATTCCTTGATTTTTTAGAATTTCTCCTAGTTTAGTTTTTTCAACTCTTATTACCTTTTTGCTTTGATTTCAAGTTTAGTTTGATTTTTTGGTTATTTCTTCCTCTCTTTTTCTCTAATTTATTCAAACTAAGTCTTGATCATTTAGTTATCTGGATTGTAGTTATAAAGTATTTGAAGTAACTTGAGGGCCTCAGAATAGTTATTCAGAGCAATCAGGAATTCCGATAAGACGTAATATGCATCAATTCTTTACGGCAATACATGCAATGCTAGATTTGCATCTAAGGCTGCCTCCTCATACTTCATTTGGCATTATCTGATTCTTGCTCTTTTGAGCAATAGCTCATAGTCAAATTTGTTGTAATCACTGAGCATTCTAGTTGATAAATTTTCAGCCTCTTCAAATTGATTTTCTTGGATAAGCTAATTTAGCCTCTTATTTTCAATTTCAAATGTGACCTCGTTTTTCATTTTATCTAGAAATTTATTATAATTAATTTAATTTGAGAGGCATTTTGTATTTTTAAATTTATAACTTAAATGGATAGGAGAATTTATATGCGAAAGCTAGAATTTAAGACCAAGGCTGCTGTCATTATTTAGAAACATTATCGTGGCTATAGATAAAGATAGATATACAATGCAATTTTGATTGATAAGTTACTATAGGTAAGTCTTATTTTATTAATGATGGGTGTTTAGGAATAAGAGAGATAATTTGAAGAGCAGTTCTTTTAAGACATAAGTCACTACGAGTATGAGGAAAATCAATATAATTAGCCAAGCTAATATGATAATTACAACAACTAAAGTGATTATAGAGTTTCAAGTATAAGTATTCCCTAAGGTTTTAAGTACCAGATAGCTGCCTAAAAGATTTAAAAGTATCTTAGAGCACAACTAGCTAAAAGAAGAGTTAAGAGATTATTCAGGCAGCACAATCTGCCATTACAGATCTCTCAACTTAAAGTTAATTTATAAGGTAGTTCTGATAAAAATAAATATAAGAGATAGAAATATGAATGCTAGGAATGTTTGCAGAAATTTTCAAATGAATCTAACTTACAAAAGCACGTAAACGATAGTCATATGAAGCAGCTAGATCAGATATAGCTTCAGCTCACAAGAAAGAATAAAAGTATGATTCAAGATGATTGAATTCTGAGCTCAGTGTAAAAATTCAAAGAGGAATATGAGAAGGAGTAAGATTAAGTTGGACACTAAATCACTACACCATTTAGAAATCTTAAATTTAGCAAAAAGTAGTATCAATAATGGAGCGACAAGATTCAGAGCCATTTTCAAACTAAAATTGGGGATTAGAATCGTCAAAGAAGTCCCAAAAGAAATAGCAAAGATCCCTAGTTTTTAGGGATAGAATAGGAAAAATACAAATCAGCTAAAAGCAACAAACTTTCGTTAAGCCTTGTTCATTAGCAAGCTTTGTTTAATGCTTTCTCTCAGAAATAGTTAACAGGCACGGCAAATAACTTCAATAAGAATGGCTAAATATCAAAATTTGATTAGGACATAAGCGTTTAGTCTTAAAGGACCAAGGTAATGCCAGTTTCTTAGTCAACATAAGGCTCTCATAATAAGTAAAGGCCCTCTAAGTTTAGTTAGAGCATTTAGTCATCAGACTTAAAGGATAATATTCATTCTGAGCTCTAGTCATTTAGAGACTATAATCAGATTAAAAAGAATGTACCCTAATTGAAAAATATTAATAAGAGTAAGCAGCAGTTTCAGAGCACTAAGAAGACATTATATTTCACACCTAAAAGTCAAAGACTTAATCAGCCAATGCTTTATGAATTCGATTTATACATCAGAGCAGCTACTGAGATTCAAAGACACTTCAGAGGATTCCTAGTTCGAAAGAAAATTTTCGGCAATTTCAAAAGATACAGATAGGTAGTTGTAAAAGTTTAAAGGCTAGCAAGAAGATTTCTTGAACTTAAAATTTAAAAGTACTAGAAATATCAAGAGTTTCTAGAGATCAAATCTAAGAAGATAATATTAGAGCTAAAAAACTTTTGCAAGATATATTAGAAGTTTGACAAGCTAAGGTCAAATCAGTCAAGTATTCCTTTAAAAAGCAAGCAAATGGTACTTCTAAATCAATCTGAAAAGTACAGAAAGTACATTGAAAAGGGATACAGTCAAATAAGGCAGAAATTTCATCATAGTGCTGCTGATTCTAGTACCTAAACTGAGGAAAATAACTTTCCCTAATCAGTTAAATTTCAGCATGATGTAAATCTATTTAATTTTGAGTCGTTAGGGACTCCTTAGAAGATAAGTTAATAGATTTCAGTCTAGAGTCATCATTAACAGGATATGATTGACAAGGATTAACTGATTTAAAGTTTGAAGTCTGAACTTGCAGTCCTTAAAATGCTGTTGTATAAGGAATCTTAACTTTCTTTGAATATGTATAATCATAATACAATAGATTAAGAGTAAAGCATCCAGTCAAACAATTCTTAGCTTTAGACAAATGAGATGGATTATAAGAGTCTGTAGGTGCTTAAAGAGAGATTAGCTTAATTGTAGAAGACATAACCTAATAATAATAATGCTAAAGTATATAGTATCCAAAGTAATAAGCAAAAGCAAGTTCATAATTAAAGTGTGACTACTTCATCTGATTATTTTGACTCCTAAAGGAAAATATCCCGCCCCCAGACTCAATAAACTTATTACCAGGATTAGCAATAGAGTAGTAAGATTGATTTTTAAGTATAAAGGCAAAAGCAAAGGCTTTAGCATTCTCACAGTAAGAAGACTTCTTAAAATAGGAGTTAAAGATGAATTACTGGCTTTTAAGTTATAAATTAATTGATTTTTAAGAATTTTATTTCCATAGATTATTGCAAATCAATTGATTAGAGGGGTTTTGGGGTTTTGGGG